TTGTTTAAAATACTAAGAAAAGCTTGGGTAATACAGCTAATCTTAGTTTCATTTAAACAAATATTATATATGTCTATGCCTGTGTACATGTAGAACTACTTGTGAGCGGTTACCGTGTGTATTATTTATTAATAACTAAAATCTGGTGGGTGGAAGGTCATACATATTGGAAAAATGGCTCAAAGGTTTTGTGGAAGATCTTTACTGAACTTCATGGGGAAAAAGGAGGTCATTGCTTCTGGGAAATGAAACTACTGTTTACTTGTGAAAGAGACATGTGTCAAGTCAGTAGGAGAATAAGAAATAGTACTTATAAGTTCTAATTTTCACTTTTCTTGACAACTCAGCTACACAATTCTGATTATGAAATTATGGTTTATTATACAACAATGCCATTGTCTAAAATGATGCTGTGTGCGACACAATGTTATTTGTGTTTCAGGCAGTGTGATAATAACACTTTGCCAAGTTTTGTCTCTTACATTTTCAGTTTCAAGCAGAGGGAGGACATTTATATGTAGTTATTATCTGCTAAGATTTAGAGGCTAAGGTAAGTCATCTTCTATAGATGGAAGTGAGCTGTGGTTTTTTTACTAATTTTTAAATACTTCATAAAGCAAAGCAAAAGCCTTCCCAAATCCAGCACAGCTATATTTTTCATTTGGAATAGCTGTAAGTCTCCTACTGGTATTCTGATCTGTATGAAAGCTGTGTTGAAGTTTGAAGATTAAACAGTTGTATTAGGGAGACTACTGTACAAAATTGTATAATGTCTTGAATAAATCACTTGTCATAAAACCATAAGACTACAGTGATGTAAGAGAAGCAAAATATGTCTGTTTTGGAGTTTTCTCTTTTTTCAACCTTTTCAGAGTTATTTTGTGTAGTAAATTTACTGAAGAACTTAATACCATCCACTATAGTATTGTCTGAAGTAGTGTGAGTTGTAAAGGTGACACACAAGAAGTAAGGGAGAAGTTTGATTATACACTCCATAGAGTTAGTGATGATGTGGTTGAGAGCCTCTGGGTGATGATTAGGAGGATGGAAAACAAAGGAGATGATGTAGTGGGTCACTGAGCCAGGATGTAAGCAGTGATGAGTTCTTCTATTGGCAGTTAGGAGAAATTTCATGGTTTGGTAGCACTGTCCTTATGGGACATTTCAACTTTCCAGACATCATCTGGGAATATCATACTGCTGTGACAAACAGGTCTGGGAAATTCTTGAAGTTTGTAGGACATAACTTCTTGTCACAAGCACTCAGTGAGCCAATGAGGAGAGAAGCCTTAGACTTGCTGTTTGTGGATAGACGGAATTTGATATACATAATTTCACAGGCACTCGGCCAAAGCTGCTGTTGATTACCTTATTTATGACTAGGTCCTTCTCTGTTAGTTTCAATCCAAAGAGTGTCATATCTGGTTGACCCATCTAGCTTCTGTGATAAGAATTTGTTCTAGTCCCTTCCAAAAATCTCCAGGTTTGCTTGCAACCCTCTGTGTTCTACTTCTCTTTATTGTTGAGAGGTTTAAAGTCTCTCGTCAGGACCAGGGTCTTGCTTTAAAGAAGACTCAATTTACTTCCCTCTCCTGACTTTGCATGGTATCAAATTCATATCACAGTGTTATCCACGCTTTGGTCCTGGGTCACCATATGTCATCAACCAGCTTGTCCATTCCGTACCTTCCAACAGTTTTCTTGACGTGAAGAACAACCTTCCTTCTTCCCTCCTCATCTTTCCTCATGAACCTATATCTGTCCATTGCTGCACAGTGGCCACTCAAGCTGTTTCATCATACCTCAGTTATTCCAACTGTGTCTGGTTCTTCCGGGCATATTTGGAGCTCCAACCTTGCCTGTTTGTTTTCCAGTGTTAAGGGTGCTATAGGAACTGCTGAATCCAGCAGACACTGCTCCCAGAAATTCTTCCTGGCAGCTGAAGCCTATCCGTATACACTCTGAGAATTCAGTAGTGAAGTTAACTAGTGAAAATACACCCTCCTTCTCCAAATGACACCACTGTGTTGCTGACAGGTTAAAAATTCGGGAGCCCCTTTTTATACTGATACATTGTGATTGCTGTGCATTGCCCTTCTACATGCAGTGCAAAGCAAAAAAAAAAAAGCAGGATCTTCATAAGTTATGAATTATCAGCTTCAAGTGAGCACTCTGCATACTTTAAAGGATTACTTCATTAGTTGGATTTTTGTTGTGTTGTCTTTCTTGCTTTATGGGTGCTGCCATCCTCTTCCCTAAGGGGCAGCCAGCTGAAAATTTTACTTTGGCTCATTGGTAAAACTTGAAGCAATTTAGCCAACTGCCGAGCTTGTTTAATTGATTCCCCCAGCATCCTTACATATGCACATGAAAAAACCCACAGAAAAAGAAAGAAAGTGGAGAATGTTTACAGATTTCATAAACAAAGAAAAGGCATTGTCCATATTCCATTTGGATCAAACTTACTCCAGCGACTTACAAAACTCACTTTTTCCTTTAACAAACCAATGTCATATATCATAAAGTCAGAATAATTGCTTGTAATGCTCTAAAAAAGATATATTTGATAACTCAGACCAGTATTTAGGATCATAAATGTATCTCAAAACTATAGTAAGTAAAGACCATGATCAGCCTTTTGGCTACCTTTAGAGAACAGCTAGGAAATTTAAATTCTTGTTGATGACATTAATAAAAGAAAACCAAAACAAACAGATATGAGCGTATTCTTTAAGTTCCACCTGCAAATCAACATTCAAACTGTCGAAGTTTTTCTGCTTTTAAGACTTTCTAGGCTTAATTAATTAATGAATTAATTCTATTTGTGACCTTGAAAATGTATTCCATATTGATATGCTAGCTTTTCTGTCTGAGTTCATCTTTGGAAAATTTGTATATTGGACATTCCACTGCAGAGAAGCAAGTTATGAAAAGAGTACATAAATCTTCATTGAGACACTGCATGATTCTGTCTTCTTCATAGTTATGTTTTCAGCTTGTGAAGAAGAACAGAAGAAAGTCCTACTGCAGACATGGCTTAATTAATCTAGATTAATTTACCTTTTTCTTTCATTTAATTCTAGTTCAAGCTACTGCTGTGTTTTTTATTCTAACAGATTTGTTGGGCTCTTATAATCATACTTAAAATTTTCTGAGGTTAAGAAGCATTTAAGGGTAGCTAGGCATATCCAACTTCAAAAATATGAAACCAAGAAATAGGAAAATTTGTTAAGAATTGTGCTATAAAATAAATATTTATGTATAAATATATAATTTTGTGTACCAGGGTTCTCAGGATGCTTTGTGAAATTGGAAGTTAGAGGAGCAGGTTTAGAATAATTGTTTCCAGCATCTGGTAGAATAAAAGGATTTAGAAACCAAAGTGATCCTGAGGTATCTCAGCAGTACTGGTAAACTGAAAGAGTACATTGAAGGAAGAGTAGAGAGAGCTCTTTTAAGAACAATATAGAAGCAGTGGGTTATCTCTTGGTTATCTATATTATCATTTATTTGTTTAGTGGTTTTTGTCCCCATAAAATGTATGGAACCAGACAGAACAAATGACTTTGTAAAATGTGCATACTGAAGAACATAGAAATTTGTATTTTTAAATAAATTGTGAGGATAAATAGCCTTCAAAAAATTAGGCTATACAAGGAAAAAAGATATAGTATAACACTTAAGAAATAAAATTTCTTACTCGCAGAAGTTCAGTGATTCATATCTGCATTAGAGTTTTAACTTTTTGTTGTGCTAGTGAAGGTGTTCAGCTTCCTGCACTGTGGCTTGTAGGTTTAGTGGTAGGAAAATAAAAGTTTAGGTACACAGAGGTGGTGTAAGAGCTGAAAGTGCAGAGTCAAGGACAATGTGGATTTAAGTTGACTTTTTAATTTCTTACCTTTTTCATTCCAATCATAATCATCCTTTTTTACCTGTTATAAAGAAAGAATGATGCTTGCTAGAAATCTTGTGATACCTGTCAGTGAAACAACATATTTGAGAACAGAATTAGGATTGGACTGTTAAATTTTGTTTTAATATAATTTAAATTCTCACATATTTCTTCATTCATTATGTGTTTGTTCCTTATTTTAGAAAACATTATTTAGATATAGTATATAGAAAAAAAGATTTTAAATACCACACAATAACAAGGAAGGTGAATAAGGTCTTTTCATGCTTGATTATTCAGTTTTAAAGTTATAAAAGTACTGAATTTCTCCTCTGGAATTTCATTGTGCCCAAAATTTGAAAACATACTTCTTTCTGGAAACATTTCCCAACCTATTAATGAAGGAGTGAGTCAGCGTGATGGATACATGGGAACGTTTGATGTTAGAGAAAGACACGGTAAGGGACTGGAGTTTAGGACTGCTCCATATAAAAGTTAATATGGGCATATTTGTTATGAATCTATAGGGAATGGGATTTCCGCTGGTGTGTTTGTAATATTTAGCAGTAGTTAGCTAAAGAAGCACAAGAGCCTTGAGCTGGTCCAGCAGTTCAGTATTCTGGAGGATCATGGAAGCACAGAATAGTTTGGGTTGGAAGGGACTTCTAAAGGTTATCTAGTCTGACCCCCTGCAATCAACAGGGACATCTTCAACTAGATCAGGTTGCTCAGAACCACATTTAAGCAGATCTTGGATGTTTCCAGGGATGGGACATCTACCACCTGTATGGTGATGTACAATGCATATTCAATATATTTTACCAACACTAGGTATCAACATTCACAACTGGAACAAGATTGCAGTGTCAGGGAAATTATATTATATGACATTATTAACTGTATTAAGTGTAGTCTTCCCATGGAATTTTAGTTAGTATTGCCTTCTGCTTAAGGAGACCAAATGTCTTTAAAGTTTTGAGTATTTCTTTTATGTGTCAATACCTATGTGAAAAAAAAAGGAAAAGAGTAGCTGTTTTCTATGTGTTTGTGTTTTGCATACTTCTGGTTTATATTAATCAATGTAATTACCTTATTACCTTCTCCTTAGGTGTTGATCTCCAGGTTTGTACTTCTAGAAATCCAACATGCTGTACTAAAAAGATGGAAGAAAGGTATCAGACTGCAGCAAAGCAAGATATACAGCAAGTGCTTCAAACATCAAGTGCTACATTAAAATTTTTAATATCTCGTAATGCAGCTGCTTTTCAAGGTAAGGCTTTCTGCTTTTTATTTCCAAACTTCTTCATGTTTTTCTTGATTTTCATCTTTCATTATTTTATTCATGTAATAAAAGTCATCTGTTAATTTTTAGCTTTTCACTATGATTTTATGCTTTCAAATAAGGAGTGTTAAAAAAGGCAAGTGATTAAGAACTGCATTGCTTTTGAAATTTTCACAAATATATTTAAAAAATATAATTTGTGAAAAAGTAAGACACTATTTTAGTAAGATTCTTTGATTTTAATTGAAAACCAGTAACTTGACATTTCTCTTGAACTTCTTTAATTTAGGTGATACTAAAATGCAAAATTAATGCCTGGAGTGCTACAAAAGAGAGATTTTTGTTATTAGAGTATTCCCACCCACCATATTCTTTGTCTTTTTCTAGTAGATGTACTTGGGTAGCTTGGTTTTGAGGTTCATTTTTGGGATCTAGTTCTGTAAGCTTTTGAGTTTCTAGAACCTATTGAAAAAAATTGTAGGTTGAGCAATAGTTGTTCTAATGCATAAATAGGAAGATATCACATAAATAATAGTTATTTGGACTGGTGATGGGCTTGCCTATTCACAATTACCCTGCATATACTATTAATTTTTTTTCTGATTTAATAAGGCATAAGTTAATGCAGAAATTGGTTAGGAACTGGGAAGATCTGAAGAACAGCAGCGATATGAGATCATAAGTGGTAGAAAGGGATATATACAGTTCATATGTGTTGAGGACAAAGTCCTACAGTCTTGTTTTTTGTCTATTAATATGTACTTATGACCTTTATGACCACTTGATTGGACAGGATAACATGGTAACTTCATACGGGCTTGGGAAGTTGTCCTGGTGACTGTCGTTTTTAACCTGTGAAGTTGAAATGATTAGCAGAATAGGGTCATAAAATGGGCAGAAAAGTTGACTTTGGAGTTCTGAAGACTTCCCTTTTTTGAAATTTAGGCTGTCTAATGCTAAAAACAACTTGGAGTTGCTCTCTACCTTCTGGGAATTTTGCCATTTAGCCTGCTTAATGCAGCTGTCAGTGGGTGTTATGATCAGGAGATCATTGGTAAAATGTGCAAAGAAATCTCTCCCTTGCTCTCTTCTGCCTTCTTTCTTCTTTTCAACTTGTGTGTATTAGCTTTTTTTGTACCATAAGAGTATAATATTTTGTATTGCTTTGCTGACCTGGGGCTGTAGACTCTGCAGAGCTCAGTGACTAACTGTACTTCGCGTAAGTGGGAGCTGTACTCTTTGCCTCAATGTTTTAAGATCTCCTCCTTTCCCCCAACCCAAAAGAAAAACCAGTGCACGAAAAAACCCCTTAGCTACCTAGATAATATACTTGTGCAATTCCAAGATTTCTCAGTCTTCACAAGAATGGGACTTAAATGATATTATAATGAAATTAAGTGAAATAAGGACCCCAAAACTGTATTTCTGTTGCTATTATGTCCTGTGGGGCTTAGTCAGTGGGGTATTTTCAGAATACATGCAGGGTGCATCTCCCTCATTGATGAATTCTCCCTGAAAGACAGGGATACATATATGCCTTTGAGGAGAAATAGTTGTGAATCCCTCTGGTATAATCTGAGTGGTTATTCAGGCGTTTGATTCCAGGCCCTTCTCAGCTAGTACACATTAAAACTCTATGGTCTGTCAGCCCAGGGGGATTCTCTGAACACCATGTCAGAGGCTAATATGAGACATATTCACTTTTAACTCTCCTAGCAGTGCTAATTTACAGTGTAGAAGGAAATTCAAGAAGCAGTGATGGAAAGAAAGAAACCTGCCTCTGTAGCTTAGTGATTATATGTCCTCCCTCTAGAGGGATAGTTTCAGGGCTGCTTGAGAATTATAGTATTTATTTTTTTTTTGGTGAAACACATGTAAGCATTTCTTATTACAGGAATGCAAACCATCCTTCCCAAATATGTAGCCTACACTGATTCTCCCACTGTCTGTCTTTCATCATTTGCTTTTAAACAAATATTTTTAAAATACTTATACTTTAAAGTATATCTATTTTATATACCTTATAGACTTCACATATTTTTGAAGTACATGCTTTAGTCTGGAGTACTTTCATCTTTGTTTTCCTTTTATGTAAAGAAGTATGATTGAGAGAGAATGTTCCATGGATTCTGGTATTATTTAGATTTAAAGCCTTGTGTAACCTTGAAGTAGTTATTTATGGAAAAACGTGCTGTCGGACATGCCACTCTTTACTGAAAAATTCCAATCATTGCTGACTAAAATTCAAGCTAAATGATTTCAGATTCAGAAACCATAATAGGATGCTACTGATATTTTTCCAGTTTTGAATTCTAGGAACATAGTAGGACATTATACCTGGTCTGAATTCAGTTTTGATGGTGCTTTGAGCAGGAGTTTGGACTGGAGACCTACTTAAGGTCCTTTACAGTCTGAATCATTGTATGACAGGGTGTCTATCTCATCACCAGATCTTTAGGTATTCCCTTTATGTTTCGATGAGGCTGGGCTGGGCAGTTAAGAGTATGATTACCTCTTCTGCTACTTTGGCAACTGGACAGATCTCTCAGGAGCTGGGCAGAAAGTGTGAAGAGAATTGTTGAGGTGTGTACGAAAGGGAGCAGATGTCGTGGACTTTGTCACTGCTGTCACGTGCCTCTTTTCAAAATATGTTGAGGCTGGATGTCTTGGCCTAAAAGGGGTGGACTGAATCCAAACAGAACAAATAGCTAATATTTTCTCTCAGTTTCTTACATATTCAGTAAAGAGAAGTAGGCAGTTAAAATAAATAATCTGTGTCTGACTCTGGAGGTCTTCAGAGGTGTGTTTTCACTCTGCATTAAATACACTGTAGAGACCTTGAGTCTTCAGGACAGCTATCTACCAGATACTTTAGGATGACTGTATTGGTGAAATGAGGCAGCTGTCTGCCTGTTTCTTAACTGTATGTGTTTGCATGTATCTTTACATGAAAGTAAATTCATATATATATTGACATATCTTTGTCACCGTCCAATGTTTTTCAGAATTCTGTGGGTCTGTAACTGCTGCCTACTGGCAGTAACTATTGGCAATTTTCAAATGTTGCAAAAATTCCATGTCTCTTAGGTCAGGTCAAGCTATATGGTGCAAATTGCACCACTTGTGTACTTCTTCCTAGTGAATACTGTTACAGTTTTTTCCTTATGTTTCAGGGTGTGTCAGAATGCATGTTTCCTTTTTTCATTGTGAATCTATTTCTTTTTAATACCTTTGAGGATTGGTAAGGAAACAGAAGGATAGGTGAGAGTAAAGTTAGATAAGATATTAATCTGGTAAGTGGGAGAGACATTACGGAGAGCAGTAAGTCATTCTTCCGTCAGGAAAGGTGACTAGAGAACTTGAGCTGTATGCTAATCGTGTGTCAAGGCAGTTACTTTGATAGGATAACATTCTTGTACATCTCTTCTTTTTTAGTATTTCTTAATATTTGAGGTAAAGACTGTGAACACTGTATGGGGATAGCTGTAACCATAAAAAAGAAAGCTTTTTAAACCTGATCTGCAGTGATATGGAGCGCTGTGCAACAGAATAGCAGATCTTGTGTCACTTCACTGTTTTTCCACAAGAGAGCTCATAACCCTTTAAAAAGTGACCATGTATGACATAGAACAAGATAGCAGCTTGTCTGGTTGAATGGGAAATTTAGAGATAAGAATTCAGTTGTGGAGTCCAGAGCAAATGAACTTTTCTTTGTGCTACTGTATTTGGCAACTCTGGTACTGTACAATAGTTTTTATAAATATAGAAGCATCAATCATTTCTGAATGTGTCAATGTGGCACTGAAACAGTGAACTTGGCAAATGTGTATTTGTATGCAGGAGGTAATAAACTGCATTTTTCAATAGAGCATTGCCTGACACTTTTCCTACTGTGTAGGAAAAATCTAGTGCCTTTGCAATGTAAGTTCTGAAGTATATTGAATCAGGTTTTCTTGATGCAGTTTCATGTTGTTCTGTGAAATTATTGCTACGCAATAGATCAATGTCCACTTTATCCTAGACCAGAATTAAATGAAGTCAAACTGCTATATAATATTGTTTTAGATCACAGTACAATTTCTACATTTAAATATGCTAAAGTTTTAGTCAGTAGATAAAGTAAATAATGTGAACTAGAAAATACTTTGAAATCTTCTGAGCTGCTTTCTCTGGTCAGCCATAAGAAATAATGAAATTTCTGTTTATCCTCTTGTCTGTAGTAGATAAAAAACCAATGTTGTCATACTACATCAAAGAAAATATAGACTCATTATTAGCAAATATTAGCAAATTTTCCAATGACAAAATTAAAATGCTCTTGATTAAAATTTTTGGGGATTCTATGTCCACAGGTCTTCAAAACAAACTGGACAAGAGAACAGTTGCCAAGCAGGCCAGGGGTTAGAATAGACTGCTAAAAAGACTTTTGACAGACCTTAAGACAGGTTTAAAATGTGATTTGCCAAGAAAAGTTAGGTGATTTGAATGTTTTAACTAATTTTAAGCTTAATCTATGAATGCTATGCTCTAACAAAAAAGGGTTTGTTCATTAATCTCTCTCCAAGAAGATTACACAGTTCTCTACTATAACATAATGGGATGGATTGCTTCTGTCATAAAGATGTTTGCAGAATGGGTTTAAATTTAGAATATCATATCCCAGTATTAAATGACCAAGAACTTGTTCAAAACTTTGTACGCAATTTTTCTCAGTACCAGTCTTACAATGGAACTGTTTTGTATAGAGCTAATAGATCTGTAGACTCACCTGAATAGATACTTAGTAATTATGCTATTTTGAACTACATATTCTACATGGGAAATTCAAGGAATTTTGCAGTTTTTACAACATTGTCTTAATTTTAATGTTTGTTGGGTTTTTTTTTCAAATTGCATCTTGGTGAACCTGACATACTGCTTAGAAGAAGTGGAGTCATGTACTGCATTTTCAAAGGCTTTGTGAGAGGTAAAACCAGTTTTCTTTCCCA